TAAACAAATTTAGAAAGTTAAATTTTAAAGGAAAGTATGGCAGTATAAAACACAAAGCCCATGTCTGGTGAACAATCAATCACATTGAGATGTTTTGGACAGTAAGGACTATTTTATATTATGCTTTGAAATTAGGAATTTGGCACTAAGTTTTGTCACTCATTTAACACCTTGCTGAGGAATGCACTTACCCCAGAGGCAAGAAGTGCTGACCTCTACTGGCCTTTTATTTACCTGAGAATGGACAGGGACACACCCACTAAACACTCTGAAGTAACACCTTGCTGAGGAATGCACTTACCCCAGAGGCAAAAAGTGCTGACCCCTACTGGCCTGACTTTCATTTACCTGAGAATGGGCAGGGACACACCCACTAAACACTCTGAAAGCCACCTTCAAAACTAAGTCATGAGCTGGGAGAGAGTCACACAGAAGAGGTAGAGAGGGGGACTAAGGAGGAGGAAGAATAGAGAGCAGCATAGGTGTGATGACAGAAGAGCTGGGAAGAAACGAGACCTGTCACAAATAATTCTCTGCACTACAGCCTACTGTGTCTCTCAAACATGTTTGTCTCATGGTGTTTGTTAACTGGACCTAAATTAGTTCCTACTTGGGGAAATGTTCTTTCACAGATACAGTGCCAGGGACTGTCACAAAGAAAGAACATCAATTAGGACAATTTCTTTCCTGTCATGGTAGTTTAAAATAATTATCTCAGCAAATTTAAGGATAAGTTAAAATTTTAAATATTTTAACATTTTCATGCAAAGCAACAAATACACTAAGGCACTGGGATATATTTTTTGCACCATGAATTATTATCTGATACGAATAAACTGGTTTTAGGGTTTAATGTGGAGATATGTTAATAACTATCCTAACACTGGAAAGGCTATGCCTACCTAAGGAATCACAATATTAATTAAACAATGAAAAACAAGAAAATTCATAGAGCTAGTGTAGAGGATTCTTAATAAACCTGGGCCAAAGCAGACCATGTGAAAAACTTCTAGAAACCATCAGGATCTTGCCAAATATCTGAGAAAGACAGAATTAAAAATCATTTTCATTTGCCCTTTAAGATAATGCTGTCTGTTCCCAGGAATATCTCCATAGCCTTTTGGCTGAAAAGTGTCTTACGTGAAAGAGGTTAAATTCCTGTGACAGCTCTTTGCCCTTGCCGGTACAATGAATACCTTCTGACTCATTTAAGCAAAAATGCCAGCAAAACTCAAGTCTTCATATTGCCATTAAGGAATGCATACGTGCTTTCCCCACATGTAATAGACCTAACAGTGTACACAGCACCCCAGTGGATTCAGGGGTATGTGGTGGTGGACATTCTTCTATAAAGCAGGGATAAGGCAGAATTATGTGGGAAACCTTTAGTAAGTAAAAGCACCTATTGTTACAGTGTTCACATAAATTATGTGTAAGTCATGATTTCACTATATGAATAGAACTATTAAAATTAGAAAATATAAATGGAACTAAATGCTTAAAATATTTCTACTCTTTTTTTTATTGCTAGTGCCCTGGACATTTAACCAAAATACGTGTGCCACCACTGCTGCAGTTGAATACTTGCCTATTTCCAGTCACACTAAGTAGTACCTATGTGCCTGCCCATCATCAGTCCTATTGAAATTTTCCATTGATCTGGGCTTCTTTTGCCTCTGTGCCTGGTATAATGAATTGGCTACATTACCTTAGTGTTACTTACAAATCAGTCAACTTTTGACCATTCAAGGCTTATTACTAATTTGCATGTATGCCATTCTTTTAGCTTCCCTCCATCTTTTTACCCATTTTTTTAAGTGTTCTCATCACATGTTGGGACAAAGAAAGGGTGACGGAGTAAAAATAAATTGGAGTTCCTTTATTTTTTAACACTATTAGGGAAAAGATGTAGATTGCTTTAATTATCTAAAATATCTTGATTTAGTTTATTATCGAGTTTAAAGGGAATGCAAAATTCACAAGCCCATGAAATTTAAGAATTTTTTTATGGATTTCTCTGATTTAATTATTGTTTGCATTGTCATAAATGGTTAAAAGATGACTGCATTTCTTTTTTATGTAAAATTTTAACCAAATTATGCAAGAAGGCATTTAACTTTTTGAGCCATTTATACTATTCTCTACATTTAAATTAATTAAATTTCCCCATATACTTTTCAGTGATCATCAAAATAAACCACTAATGACAATCAATACACAAAGCCACATTTATAATTCAAGAATATATGTGAATTTCTCTAGCCTTTTATTGCACATCTAGGAGAGATATCCCATTAACACTTTAGTGGGCTAGCTGGGCCTTTATTTACTATTATTAAAACTTCTAAACTTAGAATAAAGGTCACTTAGCCTTCAAATTTGAAGCAGAAAAAAAGGTTATTGAATAATCAATTAGATGAAAAGCAACTGCATATTCTAAGTAGGCCTATAAAATACCTGTGGTATTAATTTAATGTTGACCAGAAGAAAAGGGATAAAATTCCTTCATTGGATTTGGTGTGTGTGTGTTTTTTATAGATTATTTAAAAAACATTGCATTTAGAATCTTTATGTTCACATGGGTTACAGAGCTATTTTTAGGCCTATATGTGACTTAATCAACATTTTGTCTGGAATTGCTAAAAACACAAGTATTTCCCTTAAATATGAGGTCCTTTACAAATGGCTATATGGCAAAATTGAAGCATTTGAGGCTTTTCTTAGGTCTTTGCAATCATATTCTAGTTTTAACATCAAATGGATGGTATGCTGCTTATGCTTTCATTGTGAAAATATATTAAAAGTATTTAAACAGATAAATTAAGATTAAAATTCTTGGATAAGATAGTTCACCAATAATACAGATTTCTGTGGGAAATATATATCCCCCCCCCCTTAGGAAAGAACATTTAAACCTAGCATTTCATTAAAACTCTCAATCCTTGCTGTTGTGAGCTATATGAATAGGATTTTATCTCCGCTCTCCCCATTCCTTTCTGACAAACAGAATGAGATAATTATGAAAATGTGTTGAAAATGAAAGCATCCCACCTGGTGGGGAGAAGAGGCTTAGGTAATATTTAAGTAAAGATCCCGTTTCAGATCTTATGACACCCTGGCAAAAGAAAACTCCTCCAAATGAGCAGGAAGTTGTCATTTAGTGAATGTTAGCAGCTGAGCTAATTGGCAGAGTTTGGCCAAGACGACTGTATTTGAAAGAGAAAGTGTGGCCTTTGGTTGGTCAGGTGGTGACAGAGCTCCTGCAGTAGGTCCTGTTCTTCTGGGGAGGAAATTAATTTCCTGTAATCAAATGCTGTGGATTACAGTCTTGGCCTCCTCCGCCTTGGCCACAGAAGCCATGCCAAGGCTTGTTCAGCGACATTACCTGGTCCTTTGTAAAACAAGCAGTGACATACTCAACAAAGAAATGTTTCGCCTGCTACATTTTGTCTCTCAGAACACAGCCTATCGCTGCTTTGAGACTGAAAGCTATGACTTTGTAAGTGACTATATTTGCAAGGCTTTGTTCAGAGAAGGAAAGGAAAATGACTGCAAGAAATTCACATGCAGACAGAAGAAATCTTGGTGACGTCTGAAAACGAAATTATAAAGCAGTCTAGAGTTACAGTTGGTGAATCAATCCCAGGAATAGGAACTTTTGTAGAAATATTTAAAAAAAAATAATTACTACGTAATGTTGAATAGTAGTGATATAAAAGTCCAATCTCAGTCTTCTTCAATTATTCCATTTCTGCTGTGTGTATACATCCACATGCATACATATTTGCTATATATGCAATCTGGTGATGATTTAAATTCATTCTGCATAACTTACAAAGTTTTAAAAAAATTAACCCATTACATCTGTAAAGTAATGATTTTTTAAGACAAGGGAGAGGGTGAAAATTCAGAAAAAGAAAATTCATACAGAAAAATGACTAGCATCAGAGAGAAGTAGGATGAAATCATCTCTCTCTATAATTCCTACTCTTTTAAATTCTTTCAACAAATTTTTAAGTGTATTATGTACAAGAAAAGAGTCACCTTCGCCTCCCTGATCTGTAAGCCAAATCGCAGGATGTTTTCTCCCCATCTATTGTCAACTTCAGTGCCTGATGAGGCCTTGGAAAGACAGTGCGGCACCCCAAAACCCATTTCCTGACCAAAGGAAGAGCTTTGTTACTCTTTATACTTTGGGAAGATTAAAAAGGGTTTTACCAGTTGAATAAAACAGGGCTAGCCAATCCTTTATTTATTGTCATCTATTAGGTACCAAGTTTTGACTCAAAACCAATATGGATGGTCTATAAAACTGAGGGGGAAAAATCATTTATTTTAACCTCCCAAATTTGGTTTTGGTGATCATTCAACTGCAACCAATGAATTAATTCCCATCCATCCATACAAATAAACCTCCAACAGAAAAAGGAATTAATTTTGTTTTAGTTTGTAAAGTTGTGACTAAAATCATACTATTACAAGCAGATATTTAGATTATTCAAAATGTCTGAGTTATTTTATTGTTTAATACTATATTGAATACTGTATGAGGCAATATGATTGCATAAATAGTCCTAAATTTAGCTATCCTGATTCAGAGTCTCTAAGGGTTCTACATTAACATCAATTGGATTCTGAAATTGATACCCTCTAATATTTCAAGGTAGGGTCATTATGATTTTATTTTCCATGCTGGGTTTATGGTTTTTCACCTAACACATTAACATGGCCCTTTGGGGCTGCACTTACAAGACCTTGTTAACAAAATTGATCTGTGAGAAAGAAAAGATGGCAACAAATCTCTCACCAAGTGCTTTGATTCATTGTCACCAGTTTTTTAGTGACCCTGAGGCGCAGGGATTCCACACTTCACAGCAGCCTACTTTTTCTAAAGCAGTAGGTACTATTCCATTAGTCATGGAAATAGAAGGTAACTGTTAGCATTCAAGGAACTCGATAATCACTCTGTGTGTGTTTTTTCTCTCCCCTCTTTCCTATAGCCAACCCAACCCGGGCAGGGGGCAGAGAGCCATACCCAGGCTCCGCAGAAGTGATCCGGGAGTCCAGCAGCACCACGGGCATGGTGGTAGGCATAGTAGCCGCTGCCGCCCTGTGCATCCTCATCCTCCTCTATGCCATGTACAAGTACAGAAACCGGGATGAAGGCTCATACCACGTGGACGAAAGTCGAAACTACATCAGTAACTCAGCACAGTCCAACGGGGCTGTCGTAAAGGAGAAACAACCCAGCAGTGCGAAGAGCGCCAACAAAAATAAGAAGAACAAGGATAAAGAGTATTACGTCTGATTCCAAGATCTTAAAAGGACCCTTGTATAGAAATAGTCTTCATTTTATCTGAGACATAATATAAACTTATTTACTTTCCTTTTTATGAAGCACATACAAAAGAAGACAGGGAATGCAATCAGGAAGGAAAGACTGTTTTTAAAAAATAAAAAAAAATCAAGTATCTCATGCTCTTGTTTCTCCAAAAAAAGAAAAATAAAAAATTAAAAAACAGGGGCCAATAAATTCCCTAACATCCACAGTGTTTTCATTTACTCTGCCTGTCTTTATGTTGCTGGAACATTTCTAAAAGACAGTGATGACCGCACGCATTCATAAAGCAAAGGAGTATTACAACATCGAGGCACAACACAAAACACAACACACACAAAAGAAGCTACCTATGATCCTGGATTTAGCCAAAGTGCTAGCGCTTTCCCGAGAAGTCAGATAGTCCTGTTGCCAGAGAAGACTGTGGCATTTTGAGTGACTCGACCTGCAAATCCTTAAGAATTTGCTACCTGGCGCAAATGGAGCAGTGGTTGGAATTTACATTTGAAGCAAAGTGCTGGCTTTTTTGAAGACTTGTGTAGGAACACATTCAAAAAGCCCCTTTATGATTGTGAGAGAAAAAAAAAAAGTATGGAGGCCTTATTTTCAACATTGTGAAATATAAGGCACATTATCACACTAAAATTTCAGAACAAAAACAAGAGGGCATAGATGCAATCATTGGGAAATTTTCATGCACGCTTAATATGTTACTACATATGTTTATATAAAATCCATCTCTGTGTGCTTTCTGGACTGTGGTTAAGTGACGTTTTATAGCCTGTTGTATAGAAAATGCAAAATATATCTCTGCTCTTCAGCCATTTTTGGTAAATTAAATGTTATAAGTGTTGCTAATTATAGGGAGTTTTATGACATTGGAGCAACAATTATTTCAGGGTTGTTTTTGATTTTTTAGGCCATCATTATAAATTGCCACAATTACTTACTTTTTAAAATAAAGTTACAATGTAGTGTTTATTCTAAGAAAGATATGTATGAATGTATATAAAAAATTCAGCTACATTTTTTCTTACATGTACAGCCTTCATTCTGTTGCAGTTAAGTTTTAGTATTTGTATGAAAGGTGTGAATTAGAAGGTAAAAGCTATACATATGTATCTTCTAACCTTTTTTCTTCCCAAAATACATTTCCACATACATTCACTATTCACAATCAAAGATGTACACACACATACACACACGAATTCAGAGTAATCCATCAGATATAATGAAAGACCCAAACATACAGATACTAACAAATATTTACTGACAAAATGAAAAGCAGGAAGGAAGATAGTTGTGCCAAGGTATTGATGACAAGTGGGGTGATTTGCTTCGTTGAGATCATGGTCCCAAGAAACCCCAAGAAGATATTTCCCTAGTGAAATGGAACCTTTTCTTATCAAAATGAAAACCAATGATATCTTGATGCATGGATATAAACCATTAGGTGGGGAGGTTATGAAAGCAAAATTGGTTGATATACACTTTAATCTGATTGCTGCAATTGAAAACTTTATATTTTTTTTCTCTGAACCTAATGTGCATGATAAAGATTTTGGAAAGTAAACACTTTCTCAACTAAAAGTATTTTCAGGAATTTTTGATTCCCTATTTGTTGATTATTGACCATATTTTAACTTTTGTGGTTTTACATATATATCATTAAATAGTTTTAATTTAACACATTAAATGGTAGGAAAAGTATAGGTTATACACTTGTTTTGCATATTGTTTCTATGATGTTCATAGCAATAAATTACCAATATGAGAAGGTAATGCAAAAGAAGTGCATTATTAGATTGGAAGGTGATGCCTCAGTATAAATTGATTGCATTACTTTAACATCTCCAAAAATGATATTAGATTTCAAGGAAGAGAAGAAAACCGTTACAATTAGCTTTAATCAGCAAAGGCAAAAAAATGCAAAACATCTTTTATAATACGTTAGTTGATGAATATAAAAAGCCAAGAAGTGGCCTGGATTTCAGACATACAGCACCTTAGAAACATAGCAAATCACCAATATCTATGGTTGCCAAGTAATTGTTGTAAATGAAAAGTTATAAAGGCTTTTCATGACCCAGAAAGTAGAGGTATAAAACTAAAATTTAATATCCATTACTTGTGTTTCAGATTTTTTTTTTCATTTGCTAGGTTAAAAATGTTCATGTTTTGTGTTTTCCCCCCCTCTCATTCAGTCTTACTCAGGGAAAGCCAGTGAAATAAGAGGGTAAATATAAAACCACTAATTTACATTTGAGGTTATAAAAAGAAATGGTTGCTTTTCCATTTGATCTATGGAACTTGACCTAGTTTCCACCTGGAAAGATTGAACTATGATAGAAAATCAATAATGGTATTTTTAAGCAGTATATCTATGAAGTAGTGTTGTTGTGGAATGATTCCAATGTTTCTTTCCAACATAAATTTTACAATTTCATGCAGTGATGTAATCTTATATTGTCAGTAAAAATATTACTAATGCTATTGGCCTACACAAAATCTAGCATTTTTTTCCTTCTTTATTTTAAAGTGGAGAAAGACAGGAACATGAGCTAGGGAGAGAAAAAGACATAAGTAAAATCTTCACAGCAAAAGTATCAGGGTTCCATACACAGTTTGCAAACAATAGAGGATTTCACACTACCTGGCATAAATTTGATTACATCTCTAGACTAACTTTTCTGATTGAATCTGCTTCTTTTTTATCCATGTAATGTGTTGCCTTTTTTTAAAAAAACAACAAATATTATAATAATGTGTGATGTGGTCAAAGGCCACATGACCCACCCCTTCTAGTGCTCTGTGTGACTGGGTATCTAAGGGTTTTGTTTGTTTTGTTTTTTTGTTGCAAGGCCAATTTATCCATTATTGGAAATGCTAAGCAAGTGGAATTTACTGTTTTGTTAATAAAATATTTCTTAATACAACTGTGGTTTTATTGATTTTTTTTTATAGTATATGCGGCATCATTTGGGGACAAAATGACACAGAAAACTGCATTTGAAAAGAAAACCAATCCTGAGACAAGCAGAGGAAGAATATTGACCTGCTTTTCCTGGATTTTAATGTTCATCAAGCACCTCTAAAATCATAAACTTAGAGATACAGCCATGGAACATGTACCTTTGTTTACATCTGTTAATCTCCCTATGCGTGAAACCACAAACTCCCAGAACTAGTTGAAAACAATGGTAAGGTGCTGATTTCATGAATAGGGTTCTCTCTATACAGAGCAATGTAATTCAAGTTAAGCAAATCTATAATTAAATTCCAACACTCTCACTTACTAGCTACAAGTTACCTGATTTCTCTGTCTCCCTTTTCTCATTAGTAAAGTAACGGCAATAACACCAACCTCTCAGGGTAGTAAGGATAAAAAAACTTAACGTGTCTAGCACGATTAACTGCAAAGACAAGGTGGTTACTTGCATCCTATTATTTTTCATAATAATACATTTGGGAAAACAAGTCAAAGATGTAAAAGTACAAAATGCAAGTGTGTAAAGAAATACCAGCTTCCCTCTGGCACCCGGACCTGGGCTTCCCTCACATCCCTGGCTTTGTCTGGTCTAATTAGCATATTGTGCTTTTATTATTATAGATATCCCATATTAAAAATATACACATATATATTTTTTGGTATGCTTTAGTCCATTAGTTGGCAAATGTTTTAAAATGCTGGCCTTTGAAAATAATCCTCTGACAGAAAAGCATGAGTGGTCTTTCCCTTCTCCCATAGTAAAAAATTTGAACATGAGTGCTTAACCCATATTTTACCATTTTATTTTAGACAAATTATTTATGTCTCAATATTAACTCATGACTTTTACAGGTAATGGGGGAACAATCCACACTCTCTTAATGTCTAAATTAAAGGCTATATACTTTAACTTACCTTAAAAATGTACAAAATTTCAAAGATGATGACTTTATGTAATATGTATTAGTAAACAGATGAAGGATTCTTGAACTGTGAAACATACATCCCTAATGCCCAGTGATTAGGCATCAGGGGCTACTAACCTTTAACAATAGTTATAAAATTTGGCAGATGTATGTAAAGGAGTATTTCTTTGGAAAGAAAGTGAACATTTTTGCTTCTGTAAATTATTCAAGCCTATAATAATCTATACAGAAATCAAGCAAAACGTTTTAAAAAGTTTTCAGAGATTTGTTTTTTTGCTAGGTCACCTAAATTGTGTAAAAGTAAATAGTGTTGTATGTAATACTTCAGTTTCAAAAACAGCACAACCTGTATTTCCTGAACACTTATTTTTTGTTTTAATTGTGGGGGTGGGTGCAAAGGCTTACTTTGCATTCAGACAGATTCCAGCGATGTGTAAGCATTTCTTTTTTCATGTGAGACATATCAAGCATATTAGAACATATCTAGTCTACCAAATAAATTATTTACATGGACATTAATATATGTCATCTTAACTTCCAACTGGCAACAGAGAAATGTCTGAGAAATCTGAGAGCTGAGCTTAGAGGTTGGGACCAGAGAGCAACCTCATAGAATGATCTTAAAGAAGATCACCAGTTGTAAGCACTGGTGTGAAGAATGCCCGGGGCGGGGGGAGGGAGTGTTAAATTCTGCTTTTCTAACTTGATTTATATATTTAAAAATTTTTGAATTACGTCTTTCTTTAATTGATATTTAGAGAGGAAGGGAAAGGGATAGATAGAAATGTCAATGGAAGAGAAACATTGATTGCCTGCCTCCTGCATGCCCCCTGTCAGGAGTGGGCCACAATCCATGCATGTGCCCTGACCGAGAATGGAACTGTGACCTCCTGGTTCATGGGCCAATGCTCAACCACTGAGCACACTGGCCGGGCAAAAACTTAAGTTTTTCTAAAATAACATTTTGTCATGAAGTGTAAAATATAGAAGAGGAAACCATCTAAGGACAGAATGTACTGCACTTAGAGGAATTAAATGGGTTGTCCTATAATTATATAATTTTACATGAACAATTTAACCACTGAGGATACTCAAATTAAAATTTAATAAATACCGACCTCTTTGAACCTAGTGGACCATATAGGAAACATGAGATATAGACTCTACAAGCGTCCCAAAGTAAGTACCAGCAAATAAAACAAAATAATTATGAGTTAAAGGGTTCTATTATGTTGGTATTCTCACTATCTTTCAGCTTGGTCCTGTGGAATACCCTATAAAGCTTATTAGCTTATTATTCAAAAAAATGATAAATCTAAATCAAATGAATAAATTTGACTTCAACAAAGTGTGAGGAGTCAAAAAATTAAGTAGGAAAGGTATGCATTTTTTAAGGCAAAATTCTTAAAACTATTATATTTTACTTGCTATTATAGTGTAAAAGGTTCCATATTCTGGATCTTTCAATATATCTGACTTTAAAAGAATCTAGTATATGAAAATCTAGATAATTATTAGTTTCACAAAATGACTTCCCATAAGATGCCTTTAAATAGCATATACTTCTAATACATTTAAAATTGTATTACCTCTGCAAAACTTAATTCATAAAAAGATGAAATATATGGCCTTTTAAAAAGAAGTATAGCTATTTTCTCAATGATATTTTACATTTTTAGAACTCATTACAGCTTAATGAATTGAAACCAATTATTTAATTTTGATATATCTGATACTTATAAAAGCCCCTTAAAGTTGTCAGGTAAATTATCGTCACCATTTCATAGTAATGGAATTAGGGCTGAGAGAGGTTGATTTGCCAAAAGTCAGTCAGCTACTAAAAGGCAGAGCCAGTCCCATAGCCCAAGTCTTCTACATTTAGATTTATATGGCTTTTAATTCTGTCATAATAACTCAAAAAAATTTAGGAGTCACTTTAGTAATAACTTTTTTTTTGTCAAGTAATTCACAATAGTTCCAAATCCTTTGTAAATTTTTCTTCTCATCTTGGAATTTGTGTTTGATTCTATATGAGACCTATTATGAAATATTTTACTCGATTCCTTAAATGGCTTAGAATTACTTGTGCTAGATTAGATATATAAATCTTTTATCATTTTACATAATATACTGTTTATTATATTTTATTTCTAAACCCTCCCTGCATTTTTTTAGCAATCTTCATTTACTTCAAGATGTTGCTTAGTTAGTTCAAAACTGCTAGAACCTAAAATGCCAGTCTAGTAAAATAGCCAAGTGTTTGTTAAAAATAAAAATAATTCATGAAACTAACCTTCAGTGAAACCAACACATATATTTATATATTTTTCTCTTTATATTGTTGCAACTCACCTTGTTTATATTGCTTCCAGGTGTTTATGTTTTCCTCGGTACCTCAATGCCTATGCATTTTGATATTAATTATGGTCTATGATTGTTGAACACTCAGAGGTATGCTTAACATCCTTTAAGTCCCTCTCAGGAATATAAGATTCTAGAAATAGCCTTTCAGTATCCCTGCTTTTATTCAAAATGGCTCTGATGTTTCTACATATGATATCAATTACTCTGCAAATTTTGTGTAATGAATGTGATACAGATGGAGAAGATCTTTTACTGTAAGGAAGAGAAGACAAGATTTTGAGCAATAAGGCATGCTAGAGAATCTTATTTATTTGGCTCACCTTCTCCTGACTATGTATAAATGTATAACTTTGCATTTGGCTACTCTTTATAATAAAAAATCAAAATATTTTTCTACAATGTCTGTCACATAATCTAATGACATGAACATGTGCCTAATTATAGAAACCACTAACTTGAAACCATGACATTATTGGAGATTTATGGTGATTCTGGCTTATGATTTTAGTGCTTTTCATCATTGAGAAGTGCTGTTTCCAGGCTGTCAGAGAATTAGAGTTTCTGTATTCTACATGATAATTAGCACATCCAATTATTATATTAATCACTTGGTTTTCATTTGTGACAGGACTGACAGGATGGAGAGCCTTGAGTTATCAGCTAGTAGATTTCAGATTAAATCTTACTTGTATCACCCATAGTGGAGTCAAATTTATGTGAGTTCATTTCAATACCTCCTTAAATTTCCAAGCTTCTTGAGCCTCACCAGAACTATCTCCTTTTTACTATTCTACCCACAATATTCCAATATTCCAAATCATTGTGTTAAGGTGCCTATAAAAATATGACTAAGTCTAGAATGTGAGGTGCTGTTCACATGTTTATTTCATAAAGTGGGCATGGTCCAGGAGGCGGGTCCAAGATGACAGCGTAGGTGGACACTGAGGTCCCTCCCCCGCAACAACACATCCAATGTATATCTATATTTAGAGAAATCTCTGCCTGAGAGACAACTGTGAGCCAATTGAACAGCTCTGCACAACAAGCAAGAGAGACTGCATAGAGAAGATCAGGAGCTGCGAGAACTCTTCAGGAGCTGAGGAAACAAGTCAGGATTAGGGAAACCAGTGAGCACCCCTGCTTCTCTTTCCCAGACACACAGGTAATGGGCAGGAACTGCTTCTAGTTTCTCCGGCTGACCTCAGGTACCCCTCCTAGAGCTACACACAGCATAAAGAAGAGGGCCCCTCCACCTGGATATTGATACAGCACGTACAGCAGAGTGTTGCTTCAGGCACCCACTGGGCTCCCCCACCTGAAGAGAGTGTGGAGCTTGTAAAATGCTGTGGCATTTGCCTTTAGGACAGCCCTGTCCAGATAAAGTGCAGAGATCTTGGGGTGCTACTAAGTGTTCACATGAGGCTGTACCTCCTAGAGAGAGTATGGAGCTAGTACTTTTAGATTTCAAATCAACTTAAATGGCTATCAGCTTAACATAGACTGCTATAGATAGAGATGGACATCATGGTAATCATCAACAACAACAAATACAAAAATGGATATAACTCTTAAACATCTACACACCAACATAGGAACACCTAAGCATGTAAAGCAAATATTGAGGTCCATAAAGGGAGAGTAAGGCAATAATAGTAGA